GACATGAACACTCACACAGGCACACACACATACACACATGTGCACGCACATCATCACACACACAAAGGAGAGGGGCATGAAGGAATCACATTCGTCTGATATGACAGAAGGTTTTTTTCGCAGTTCACAGTGGTCGGTTCATGCAGAAAGAGTGTTGACCCTAGCCATCCACACATTTGTCATTACAACTCACAGAATCCGATTTCGAAGGCAAGACACATCACTGTCATTGGCCTTTGTTAAGCCTCCCCTCGTCACTGACCACCACCACTTCTGTTTGTGATTGCTACTTCGAGTCAGAGTTAGGCACTGTAATGTCTTGGGTGTTCGCATCTGGCATTCCCTGGTTCTTGGTTGTTGTGTGATCCTGTTCATGAACATTGGCCATCTTTTCTGTTCAGTACAGTCATGAGGGTGGGGAAGAAGGTAGCAGTGTGTATTTGACTCAACATCGATACCATCGAAGCATGCAAAATCACCTTCCACCACCACTCGTCCACCCACCTCTATCCGTTGCTCCGTTGATCAGCTCAAACAGGCTCATTTTCCCCTTTTTTTGGCATAGATTCCATCCTATTCTTCAGTCTTCTTCCCACTTTTTTTCAAACATTTTGTTTACCATTCTCACCAGCTGGTGCACCCACATCTTAATCGTCATCACCCAGTTTACGTTTCGGCCGCCGTTCTTAACAATTCCACAGGCATTTGCAAGTTTACTCACTGCTTCACTCCTGATTGGTTACCGAGTACTTGCTGTTAGTAAAACCCTTCTCCAATCCATCTTACAGCTCTGCAACGATTGCTCAAGTGTTTGAGAGAGAGAGAGAGAGGGAGAGAGAGGACAACACAAAGAGACAGAGACAGAGACAGACACGGAAACAGACACAGAGACAGACACAGACAGACACAGACACACACAATGAGAGACGGAGAGAGACAGAGAGAGACAGGGAGACACAGACAGAGAGAGACAGAGAGACACAGAGAGAGACAGAGAGAGAAAGAGAGAGAAAGAGATGATCCGCATTCCTGTGTCCTCTTGACCTTCAAGAGCTTGCACTGTGCATCACTCGTTCGTGCGATCATTTTTACTCACTTACAGATTCCAATGCTATTGCCCATCTCTTATCATCATCATAATCGCCAAGGTAAGCTCCAGAGGCATATGCCCAGACTTGACAACTGTGTCTCAAGAGTGACACCTGTCATAATCTTATCAATCGTCCGGATCAGTCATGTGACGTCTGAATCATTCTGTACAGCATAGCAGATTCTGTCAAGTTATATCCTCTGAGAGAGGAGGAGACAGTTTCCCCTGAGACTTCCATCCGTCCGTCACCGTCATCACAAATTCAACACCCTGATCCCTGCAATCACATGAGCCCGTGTGTATCCACCAAATGACCAATAACAAGCAAGACAGTGTTGTCTCACCATTGTAAAGAATCGCTGAAGATTTCCGCCGCCTTGATCGGGGCCACCCACTTCCTCTGTACTTTTGCCAATGTTCAATATGATATCAAATGCCGTGATGCGTGTCTTTGCATTGTTCTGCCAAAAAGGAAGCACAAAATATTTTGCAGTCCAGAGGTTTGATCAGGAAAACACTGAATTGACAATATTCGAGATGAAAACAACTGCAGGCCAAAAATGTTGGCATTTACAAACACATGCAATGACTTGCTGGTTTCTGGTTGCCTGTAGCCTCTCGTATCGAGGCTGTACCATAGGTAATATAGATTCGTACCTGAGGGCTAACCGAGAGACCTACCTGTAGGGAAAATTCTTGAGGGACATATCTGCAAATTCGGGAAAATACAGGCCCGTAATAACTGAAATTCCCTACAGCTACCCTAACTGCGAATAGCAGACCCGGGCTACCCCTAGGACAGATAGGCCATGTGGGCCTAAGCTGATAGACGGTCCTATAGCCTATAGCCGGGTTGGGAGAGGCCCTAGAGGCCGAAGTTGAAACGGTACCGGCCGGTCCAGTCAGTCCGGGCTAGGTCGTGTCTAGGCTAGTGTAGGTTAGAGATAAAATCAGGACATCGGTCCAGGGCTTTTGGGCAGTTGGTACTGTGTACATCGCTGCTGTGCAACGCATGAACTGGAGTGATGACAGCTTCAGCGTTGGAGGAGACAGACATAGCCGGACCTGCGCAGTGCCGGCCATAGCTACCTGCGCTGAACACTGACAGCACGCGGGGCTGTACAGAGGTTCGGGCTATCTGAAGTCTGCTGGAGGCGAGAGAAGTGGTGCCCTGCTGGACCCTCTTCCGGAGTCGGGTTACGGGGTGTGTGGCGCTGCAGCCATAGCTGCAGCTTCTTCCGCAGAGATCATCTTGTCAGGAGAGGTGGCGGCTGTAGATTTCCACCCGGGAAGTCATCCGGCACTTCATCATCACCAGACACTGCGGCGCTGGTCTTCTTCTTCATCCTCTGAGTGGCGCTTGGCCTCAGAGGCCTGTTTCAGGGTGGCGCTTCCCTCTGGAGGCAGTATCTGGGTGGCGCTTGATGTTTCAGGGACTCAGGGGTGTTATTAGCAGTTGTTCAGGGTTGGGGAGTGAAGCGCTGCTCATTTCTGAGCAGCGCACCATAGTTCTGGGGTTATTCTGACAATTCCAGACTCTGAGTTTAATAAACAGTGTTAATACTGGGTTTGAACTATTGTGAGGATTGAGCCCTCAAGTAGGGGCCCTGCCATGATGTACATGTTCTGGGCTAAGGCCCCAGCAAGCCTACTGCCCGCCCTAAGTGAAGGCGGGCCAGCAAATCGACAAGAGCCCTCTGTGCAACATTTCATGAAGTGGGGTTCATACAGTTGCAGCACGCCAGTTGGTTGGAGTGCACCGAGTCTCGGATTTCAGCAAATGCTGAAAGCCCAGGGCCTCTGAGTTGGTTAGGCCCTGGGCATCTGAACGTGAGGCCGACATTGCATGCTGGGAAGAGAGGCCGAAAATGCCGAAGGGAAATCGGCCCACTGTCTGAATCTGGCCGCAGGCCTTGATGAAGGAGGCGCAACTGCCTTGACCGGGGCCCAACTGTATCGAGTTGGCTTCAGCCTCTGGGCCCCGGTCACAGGCTGAAGGAAGGCCGCCCACACACTGCACTGGCATATAGGCAAGCAG